AATGGGACGCCTGTCTCCAGCAACTAAAGTGGAGAGAAGATCTTACAATAACGGTAGATGAGGCACACTTCGAAGCTGCACAATATTTCTCCAAACTCTAACAAATGCAGTTCCCAGTATCCACGCGCTTCTCTGCTCTCCTCACCAAAACCCATTCACCACGACGAGTCGCAGTGATTCAGAGAATTGGAGGATTTCCTCCCCATTATCAGCACGACAGACACCAGTGACAGGTGAGCAATGTTGGTCTACAAATGCTTCGTTCTACGTCGCATGATAGCTTTGATCCACTCAGCCTCCGCCTACGATGCACCACCAAGTCAACGCAAGTGTGCTCTTCGCTGAGTCAAAGCAATCACCTTTGGACGAAATGGCGGATTCTCCATGGCCATCACACGCTCCAGTATCTCCTCCACTGATGTCCATTCCACTCCATATGGTTTGGTCTGGTAGAAGACTTCGTGCAGTATTATGGCAAAAGCATAGACATCACCCGCCTTGCTTCCCATCACACCTGCCTCCTCATCGCGCAGCAGCTCAGGCGCTGTCCACAATTTGTCTAAAAATGTGAAACAACTGCAAACCATGGCAACTACAACTAACCTTGTAGAATGTCTGAAGGATGTCTGCCTGTTAAATTGTGGATTTTCGGGATGCCGTAGTCTGTGATTTTCAGGGCATACCGACAAGTGACAACACAATTGGTTGACTTCAGTCGTCCGTGAGCTTTGAGACTTGTGCTGTGGAGGAACTCCATCCCCTTGCAATGCCCCATTGAAGGCATGAACGTGCATACATTTAGCGGAGAAGAGATTATGCTCAAATGTCATATAAATTAGCATCCACTTACCCTTATCATGTCATTCATGAGAGAGAGCTTAAAATCCCAGTCGAACGTGATGCTTCGGTTGTTAATGACGTCCTAAACACGGCAACGTAGTGTCAGAAACGTCGGTGGAACTCCTGCGCATGCATGATGTGTGCACACAGGTAAATGATAGGCAGATCTCCTTGCAACACTGGACAAGAAAAGCTTTAGGCGGGAAGTGAAGTAACTGTGGCACGCAGGATGGTGGAGGGCTTTTT